TAATGTAATAACACACAGCCCATACTTAAACCACATTCTCAACAGTGACTCAACATAAGAAGAATCTTTGGAATACATATTGAACGCAAATTTATTTTGACACAAGGCTTATTTGGAATAATCAATTTATAATGAGCATCACAGAACTTACAAGGATATTGTGGAGTTCAATTCTAAGAGAAGAGTTTAGCCAACATACCTCGCTTTGAGCTTTCCTTAATTCACTACACATTTCCGGAATCCTAGCAACTTTGAGCTATTTAGAGATATAGCAAAATTAAACACAGATTAGGAAGGAGTTCATTGTTTCAGCTCACTTGAGCATTTTATCAAATACTAGCTGTGTATTAAGGTTTCAAGGTCCTCCTATGGTGGATTCTTTTATCCCACTACCCAAAGTTTACCCAAATAATCTCAACAGTCTTCCCACTACCCTTGATGGTACATGCATGTAAAATAAACAACTCCCACACCCAAGAATTGCTTGGCTTATTGCCGATTTTTAGTAAAATCACGAAATTGAGGGCTAGGGAGTAGAACCTTACCTCTGGGATGAAGACCTAGTGAATTGTTTTGTGAATTCTTCAACTTGGAGAAAGAGTTAATGATCAATAAGCTTAGGAACTTCCCCTATCACTCTATGGTAATCCCTCTCTCTAGAAATATTATATTTTTGCTTCAAAAGTGACCCTTTGCATCAATATATAGAAATACGTGTTGGGTAAAAATTTGAAAATATGAAGCCCCGATGCAGATATGCGGTCGCATATGCGACCGCATAAAGCTTCTGCCTTCCGCAAAATGGACCGCATAATGGCCCTCCAGAACTGGGCACCACTGCCTCACTCTACGACCGGTCTGTGGTCGCATAATGCGTCGCAGAACTATCTTCCGGATTTTTTTGTGCTGGATCTGCGAGGGGTTATGTGGCCCGCACATTGATTATGCGGCCGCATAATGGACCGCATAATGGTCCAAAAATTTTGCCCAAAATTCTGCCTCGGTCTGTGGCAGATATGCGGTCCAAAGAAATGCCTTGTATTTCCAAAATTTTTCTTCAACTCCCCAACGCACTGTTCAACCTAAAAGGTTCGAACCACGGGTTCAGCACATAAGCCTACTTCGGCATTATGAAAATCCAGGTTTTAGGCAACATTTTATGGGTCCTTACATCCTCCCCCGCTTAAGATCATTCGTCCACGAATGAGGGCCAAAACCCGCCATTAGAAACCAATGTAACTCATTTTCTATAACACACCAACAGTTCCAACTTTTGACTAACTCCCCAAATTTCCAAAATGTTTGCCAAAGTTTCCCCTGTAACTAGGCCTATCCACCTATCAGAGAATCCCAGAAACCAACCCTAACAACATATACATGAACCAATGACGTAACATAACATAGAAACAATGGCAACCGTAGCCTCACGAGCAGCATATCACCAAAAAGGAACACCCTTAACATCAACTGTACAAATGATACATAATTCATAGAAGGTAAACTCTTTGCATTTTCATAGAACACGACTTTATAAATACATGACTATTCAAACAAATGAAGGTACTTCTTCTTTATTTCTTTCTCGGCCTCCCAGGTGGCCTCTTCAACCTACTAGTCTTGCCATAGCACTTTCGCGGAGGCAATTTCTTTATTTCTCAGCTTACAGACTTGCCTATCAAGAATGGCAACTAGAATTTCTTCGTAAGTCAATTATTCATTAACCTCAATAGTCTCAACCCGAACAATAAGCGACGGATCTCCAACCACCTTCTTCAACATGGATACGTGGAACACCGGGTGCACTAAAGACATCTCTGGAGGTAGTTCTAGCATGTAAGCCACCTGACTAATCCTCTAAGTGATTTTGTAGGGTCCGACATAACTCAGACTCACTTTCTCTTTCTTACCGAACCACATTATACCTTTCATAGGGGAAACCTTCAAGAATACCCAATCATCTTTTTTGAACTCCAAATCCCTATGATGAACATCTGAATAGGATTTCTGACGACTCCGAGCAATTTTCAACCTTTCTGTAATGATCTTAACTTTTTCCATAACCTGATGCACGAGGTCTTGCCCTATCAACTCTGCTTCCTCAATCTCGAACCACCAATGGGAGATCTACATCTCCTACCTTATACAGCCTTGAATGGTGCCATCTGAATGCTAGCATAATAACTATTATTGTAGGCAAACTCTAAGAGCGGCAAATGATCATCCCAGCTATTTTTGAAGTCAAGAACACAAGCGCCCAACATATCCTTGAGCGTCTCAATAGTCCGCTATACCTGCCCATCAGTCTGTGAGTGAAAGGTTCTACTAAGATTCACTTGAGTACCCAAACCTTGCTGAAACTTCTTCCAAACATTAGCCGTGAACTATGCCCCTCGATCTGAGATAATAGAAACTGGAGTGCCATGCAACCTGACTATTTCCTTGATATACAACTGAGCATACTGTTCCGTTGTGTCGGTAGCCTTAACAGGTAAGAAGTGTGCTGATTTCGTGAGTCGGTCCACAATTACCCAAATCGAGTCGAACTTGCGAGGGAGTCCCATCAAAAAGTCTATATTGATCATCTCCCACTTCCACATTGGAATTTTTATGTTTTGTGCCAACCCATCGGGCCTTTGGTGCTCGGCCTTCACTTGCTAACAATTTGGACATCTTGCCACAAAGTTTGCTATATTCCTCTTCATATCATTCCACCAGTAGACTTCCCTAAGATCATGATAAATCTTTGTAGAGCTCGGGTGCACGGAGTACCTAGAAGTGTGAGCCTCGGTCATGATTCTTTCCCGGAGACCATCCACATTCGGAACACATTGTCACCCTTGGTACCTTAGTGTACCATCATTCATGCTAAGAGAAAAGGCCATGGTCTTATGTTTATGAATCCCCTCCTTCAATTGTACTAATAATGGGTCGTTGTACTGCTTTTCCTTGACTTCCACAACAAGCGATGATTCAGCCCTATTTTGTACAAGCACCCCTTCTTTGCTTGAATCCACAAGACGAACTCCCAAACTAGCCAACCGATGACTCTCCTTGGCCAATGACCTTTGATATGCCTCCATGTGAGCCAAACTACCCATAGATTTCCAGCTAAGAGCATCCGCCACAACATTAGCTTTCCCCGGATGATATAGGATATCAATGTCGTAATACTTGAGTAACTCAAGCCACCTTCTCCGCCTCAGATTCGATTCCTTCTGTTTGACAGTATATTGAAGACTCTTATGGTCTGTGAATATATCCACATGGACCCTATACAGATAATGACGCCAAATCTTCAATGCAAATACCACCACTGTAAGCTCTAACTCATGTGTTGGATAGTTCTTTTCATGATTCTTGAGTTGCCTATAAGCATAAGCTATAACCTTGCCATGTTGCATTAATACACACCCAAGTCCGATTCTTAAAGCATCATAATATACCACAAACCTACTTGTACCCTCTGGTAGGGTTAACACTAGTGCCGTAGTTAATCTTGATTTCAACTCTTGGAAGCTCCTTTCACAAGAATCTGACCATTGGAACTTAATCGCCTTCTACGTCAATTTAGTCAACGGAGAGGCAAGAGTAGAGAACCCCTCCACAAACTTCCTGTAATATCCAGCTAAGCCGAAGAAACTGCGAATCTCTGTTGGGGTAGCAGGTCTAGGCCAATTCTTCACAGTTGCAATCTTCTGAGGATCAACCTCAATTCCTTCTCTAGAGACAACATGACCCAAGAACGTTATAGATTCAAGCCACAATTCACATTTCAAAAACTTCACATATAACTGGTGCTGATACAGGGTCTGCAAAACTGTCCTGAGATGATCGGCATGGTCCTCTCGATTTTGCGAATATACAAGGATATCATCAATAAACACTATCACGAAGGAGTCAAGAAAAGGTTTGAAGACTCGATTCATAAGATCCATGAAAGCTGCGGGGGCATTTGTTAGCCCAAAAGACATTACCAGGAATTCGAAGTGCCTATACCAGGTATTGAAAGCTGTTTTTGAAATATCCTGCTCCCTGATCTTCAACTGGTTATACCCGGATCTTAAATCGATTTAGGAGAATTACTTAGAACCATGCAATTGATCAAACAAGTAATCTATCCTTGGCAGTGGGTACTTATTTTTTATTGTAACTTTGTTGAGGTGCCGATAGTCAATACACATTTTTAGCTACCCATCCTTCTTTCTTACAAATAGAATCGGTGCGCCCCAAGGAGACACACTCGGCCAGATGAAACCCTTCTCTAACAAATCCTTCAATTGTTCTTTTAGCTCCATCAATTCTGTTGGTGCCATTCTGTATGGCGAAATAGATATAGGCTGCATTCCTGGCATTACATCAACCCTAAAATCAATCTCCCTATCTGGTAGAATCCCAGGGAGCTCATCCGGAAAGACCTCCAGAAATTCATTCACAACAGGCAGAGACTTAAGTGTAGGTGCCTCAACATCGGTGTCTGTATCCCGGACCAAATAGTAGATACACTCTTTGTTAATCATCTTCGTGGCCTTAAGGTAATAAATAAACTTACCCTTCAGCACCACATCATCCCCTTTCCATTCAATCTCTGACGCATTTGAAAATTCAAACCTAACGATTATGGTTTGACAGTCAAGCTTGGCAAACACATGAATAAAGCCAATCCATCCCTATTATTAGATCAAAATCAACCATCCCCAATTCAATGAGATCGGCCATAGTGTCCTGACCATGCACCGTGACAACACAATGCTATAAACTCGCGCGGCCACAATAGACTCATCGACCGGAATAGATACAGAGAACGGCTCATGGAGCTCTTCCGATTCTATGCCAAATCCCATAGCAACATAGGGAGTGACATAGGACAAAGTGGAACCGGGATCAATAAGAGCATACACATCATGAGATTGGATAGTCAATATACCTTTGACAACATCTGGAGAAGCCTCTAAACTCTGGCGACCCTTCATAGCATAGAAACGGATGGGTCCTCCCAAACTCTATGTGCCACCCCTAGCTGAACCAAGCTCTACGTGTGCTGGGGTGCCTTGAGCTGGAGGAGGTACTGCGGATGTAGTGGCTGCAGAACTGGTTGGTTGTGCTATACCCCTGCCCATGCTCTGGTGAGACGAATGGCAATCCCTCTGAATATGACCTCTCATACAACAACCATAACATATGGGCTGGTGCATGAAGTAGGTCCCAAAGTTTATCTTCCTGCACCTAGGGCATGGGGCCTCCGCCACTGCTAAAATCTCCCACCTGACTGACCCTGCTGGTAGGATACCATGTTGCCCTGGCTAGGCCTAAAACAGTTCCTCTACTGCTGACTGGGCCTCGATGGCGGTGCACTGATTGAAGACTGAGCAAAAGACTGGGATAGCCCTGATGTCCCTCCCTTGAATGCTGACCTACCACCACCACCAACACTAGAAGAACCACTAAAGTTACCTGCGGACCGGGCCTTGCTGCTGCTCTCACGCTCCATTTTATTTTTCAATTTGCGGGTCTTTGTGGCTTGAGAAAATGCCACCATCTTACCATAGTTCATATCAAGATCCAAGGTGGTTGTAGCGGCCTCATTAATAACTAAGGGGCTAAGGCCCTGCACAAACTGGTGCACTTTAGTCTCCATAGTAGGCAACATGTGGATGGAATATTTGGACAGGCGCGTGAATATCATATGTTCCTCCCACACACTCATGCGACCTTATTTCAGGCTCTCAAACTCGGCGGCAGGAGTTGCCTTAGTCTCGGCAGGCAAGAAATGATCAATGAAAGCATCGACAAACTCACTCCACCCTACCGGAGGGCTCCCCTCCTCACGGGAGTCCTCCCACATCTCAAACCAAGAATGGGACACCCCTTTTAGGCGGTAGGAGGCCAACTCTACTCCCCCCATCTCAACAGCACGCATAACTCGGAGGTTCTTGTGCATCTCGTCAATAAAATCCTAGGGGTCCACCTCAAGATCAGTACCTGTGAACACTGGAGGGTCCAACTGGAGAAATCTGTTTAACCTGGAACTAGCAGAATCCCGTGGCTGACTAGAAGAAGTGGGTGCAACATTTGATCTCTGTGCTCGGGAAGCCACTATCTAAGCCAACATCTGTATGGCTCCCCTATGATCCCCACTAGATACACCGGGACCGGAGGCTGGGGCTGGAGGTTAAACTAGAATATCAGTTAGAGGGATCGTTACACCCTTAGTAGGTGGAGGAACTGGTGCAGTCTGATCAGGTGTAGTGGAATCAGGCAGTGTAGTTGTCGGGGGAATGTTCTCACCCCTCGAGTGCTCACCCACATCATCAAGTAAAGGATCAATTGCCACTCCTGGGGTGGAATTGGCTCCTTGGCTAGTTCTTGCTTTCTTCCTAGGTGCCAAATACTGAAAATTAGAGCAATGCACAAGTTACAGGAGGGACAATCTTGCAATCAGTTTTATCGCACAATCTAAAACATCAAAGAAGGGTATTATTCCTAAATACCCAAGTAACTTCCTAATTATAGATGTGGTCGACAACACACCGATAACAAGGACTCTACTAGATACGGCTCTGAGACTTCCTAGGACACCTTAAAACCTTAGGCTCTGATACCAAGTTTTTCACGCCCCGACCTTAGGGAGCTCGACCGGTGCTCAACCAGGATACCCCGGTCAAGCAAGCCTTTAAAATGCCCTCTACCAACTCACCCATGTATAAAGAGAAGAATACATTTCATTAATTAGATAGTAAGAGGTCATGTGAATGACACCAATTCATATCCATTAGTTACGTCATTAACATGTCTCCAAAATAGTACATTGTACAATCATAGTTAAAGTGGAACAAGTGATACGATTACAGCATTTTTAGTTTAACCTTCCCAAAAATAGATACAACCCACACTAAGTTTACAGAGCCTCTAACAGGAACACAAGAGTGCTATGACAGTGCCGGTAACAAGTCTCCGACTATACCTCAATATGCTATATACAAAGGATAAGATATACAGGACCTCGAAATGAAGTGGGACTCACCAAGTCAGCTGAGGAGAGGGTGTGCTGCTATCACTGATCAATACCACCTGCTATTGAACCACTTGTATCCATTAAAGATGCAGCTGCCCCGGCATAAAGGGACGTTAGTACATATGTAATAGTACTAGTATGTAAAACTAAACACTCTCTCAATAGAACGAGTAACAGTAAACGGAGAATAAAACATGAAATCAATAAGAGACTCAACCAGTATCAAGGTGTCATGTTAGGGGAAAGGTAAATTTACAGTAAGTTTCAATAATTTTAGTTGGGAGATCTTTAGCACCGATACACCACCGTGTTTTAGCACGGAGTCTGATCTCAGCCTGACCAGGTAAGATGTCTCACCCCGAGACATACACTTATAATACCACCAGGTGCGCGGCATGGCGTCTGATCTCAACCCGATCGGCTAAACCATCTCACCATAATGTCGTGTGGGTCAACATCACATCAGATCTCTCTAGCTATAATTTCATCCCATTTAAGGGGAAACATCTCAACACACCAATATTATCCCATATAAGGGTAAACTATCTCATCACATTAGCACGTGGATTTACCCTGCAATCACTCCTATACAGGCACGTGTAGTTTCGGGGTTAGGTTATTTCGACCTACCCTTCTTTGGCGGCTAAACAATACTCCCAAGAAATTTATTATAAAAAGGATTTACCACTCATTTTGTAATCTTTTCATATCATTGATTTCATTGGCACCAATGGCCATGACGCAGTATCATTCATGGCACGATGAACGCACATCATATTTTCTGTTCTCTTATTTCACATTCAAATATCATCATGGATAATCAACAACAAGGCCTTTCTAATTAACACTTTAAACACACATTTGAGCAATTTATGGTCTTAGGCACATGTGATTTCTTACACAATTGTCATGATAGCTTTCATTAGAATCACGCTTTTAAATCATAACGTAATAACACACAGCCCATACTTAAACCACATTCTCAACAGTGACTCAACATAACAAGAATCTTTGGAATACATATTAAACGATTATTTTTTTTGACACAAGGCTTATTTGGAATAATCAATTTATAATGAGCATCACGAGACTTACGAGGATATTGTGGGGTTCAATTCTAATATAAGAGTTTAGGCAACATACCTCACTTTGCGCTTTCCTTAATTCACTACACAGTTCCGGAATCCTTGCAACTTTGATCTATTTAGAGATATATCAAATTTAAACACAAATTAGGAAGGAATTCATAGTTCCAGCTCACTTGAGTATATTATCAAACACTAGGTGTGCATTAAGGTTTCAAAGTCCTCCTATGGTGGATTCTTTCATCCCACTACCCAAAGTTTACCCAAATGAGCTCAACAGTCTTCCCATTACCCTTGATGGTACATGCATGTAAAATAAATAACTCCCACACCCAAGAATTGCTTGGCTTATTGCATATTTTCAGTGAAATCAAAAATTGAGGGCTAGGGAGTAGAACCTTACCTCTAGAATGAAGACCTAGTGAATTTTCTTGTGAATTATTCAAGTTGGAGCAAGATTTAATGATCAATAAGCTTAGGAACTTCCCCTCTCACTCTATGATAATCCCTCTCTCTTGAAATATCAGATATTTGCTTCAAAAGTGACCCTTTGCCTCAATATATCGAAATAGGGTCGGGTAAAAAATGAAAAAAAATGAAGCCCTGATGCAGATCTGCGATCGCATATGCGACCGCATAATGCTTCTGCGGTCTGCAAAATGGACCGCATAATGGCCGTCCAGAACTGGGAACCCCTGCCTCACTCTGCGATCGGTCTGCGATCGCATAATGCGCCTCACTTTCGAAATTATTTTGAGCTGGATCTGCTAGGGGTTGTGCGTCCCGCAAAATGATTATGTGACCACATAATGGTCCAAATATTTTGCCCAAATTTCTGCCTCGGTCTGCAGCAGATATGCAGTCCGCAGATCAGTTTTGCGACCGCAAAAATGCCCTGTATTTACAAAACTTTTCTTCCACTCCCCAATGAATTGTTCAACCCAAAAAGTCTGAACCCCGAGTTCAACACATAAGCCTAATTCGGCACCACAAAACCCTGGGTTTTTAGGTAAACTTTTACGGGTCCTTACACTCGTAATCAAAATTTAAAAAGTCAACCCCCCGGGCTCACATCTCGGAATCTAATAAAAGTTACAAAATCTGAAAGCCTATTCAACCACGAGTCCAACCATACTAAATTTATCGAATTCCGACACCAAATCATTACTCAAATCCCAGAATTTAACTCTCCAATCCCTAGCTTAGAACACCCAAAATTCCATCTCAAAAACACACAATCTAGGTGGAAAATTCAATGGGGAAACAATATTATTGAATAAGAATAATCAAGAGTGACTTACCTAAAGTAAACCATTTGAAATTCCTCTAACAAATCGCCTTAGTCCGAGCTTCAAATGTCCAGAATGATTAAAATCATGAAATCCTCGAGTTTTAAACATTACCCAGCCCTTTTCACTTTTGAGGATCATTTAAACGCCCATGCGGTTCCACTTTTGCAGTCAATGCTCCGCATATGTGGAGTTACACTGGACACCAGCCTTGCGCACCTATGGCCTCTCGTCTGCGAGAAAACTTTCGCTTTTGCGGACCTGGGTGTAGAAATTCCCTTTGCACCTGTACAACTCCCCAGCTCACGCAAATCCGCTCCTGCGATGAGCTCAACAGTCTTCCCACTACCCTTGATGGTATACATATGTAAAATAAACAACTCCCACACCCAAGAATTGTTTGGATTATTGCATATTTTCAGTAAAATCACAAAATTGAGGGCTATGGAGTAGAACCTTACCTCTAGGATAAAGACCTAGTGAATTTTCTTGTGAATTCTTTAACATGGAGCAAGAGTTAATGATCAAGAAGCGTAGGAACTTCCCCTCTCACTCTAAGGTAATCCCTCTCTCTAGAAATATCAGATATGTTCTTCAAAAGTGACCATTTGCCTCAATAAATCAAAATAGGGTAGGGTCAAAAGATAGAAAAAAGGAAGAGCTGATGCAGATCTGTGATTGCATATGCGACTGCATAATGCCTCTGCGGTCCGCATAATGGCCTTCCAGAACTGGGCACCCCTGCCTCAGTCTGTGATCGGTCTGCTGTCCGCAGACCTGTTCTGTGGTCGCATAATGCACCACAAAATTTCTTTCGGAATTTTTTTGTGCTGGATCTGCGAGGGGTTGTACGGCCCGCAAAATAATTATGTGGCCGCATAATGGACCGTATAATGGTCCAAAAGTTTTGTCCAAATTTTTGCCTTGCTCTGCAGCAGATATGCGATCCGCAGATGAGTTCTGCTACCGCATAATGGACCGCAAAAATGCCCTGTATTTCCAAAATTTTCTTCAACTCCTCAATGAATTGTTCAACCCAAAAAGTCTAAACCCCGTGTTCAACACATAAGCCTACTTCTGCACCATGAAATCCCGGGTTTTA